GTGTGAGGTGGAATCTCAGGGTTGCTTTGATTTGCATTTCTGGGCTGACTAAGCATACTGAACATTTTTAGATGTTTTGTGGCCATTCCAGTTTCCTAAGTTGAGAATTCTTTGTTTTTCTTTGTACCCCTATTTTAATAGGGTTATTTGTTTATCTGGAGTCTAATTTCTTAACTTCTTTGTATATATTTGATATTCACCCTCTGTCCAAAGTAGGATTGGTAAAGATCTTTTCCAAATGTGTTGGTTGATATTTTGTTCTATTAACAGCATTCTTTGCTTTACAGAAGGTTTGCAATTTTATGAGTTCCCATTTGTCAATTCTTGCACTTAGAGCATAAGCCGTTGGTGTTCTATTCAGGAACTTTTGCCCTGTGCCTAGGTATTAGAGGTTTTTCCCCACCTTCTCTTCTATTAGTTTCAGTGTATCTGGTTTTATGTGAAGTTTCTTTATCCACTTGGACTTGAGATTTGTACAAAAAGATAAGAATGGATCTATATGCATTCTTCTATGTTCTGACCTCCAGTTGAACCAGCACCATTTGTTGAAAATGCTGTCTTTCAAGTGACTTAGATTTTTAGTGTTATTTCTGGGCCTTAAATTCTATTCCTTTGATCTTCTTGCCTGTCTCTGTAACAATACCATGCAGTTTTTATCATCATTGCTCTGTAGTACAGCTTTAGGTCAGACATGGTGATTCCCTATAAATTCTTTTATTATTGAGAATGTTTTTGCTATCCTGGGTTTTTTGTTATTCCAAATAAACTTACAAGTTACTCTTTCTGTCACTTTGATGAGTTGAGTTGGAATTTTGATGGGGATTGCATTGAATCTGTAGATTGCTTTTGGCAAGATGGCTATTCTTACTATATTAATTCTGTCAATTCATGATCATGGGAGATATTTCTATCTTTTGAAATCTTCTTCAATTTCGTTCTTCAGAGACTTGAAGTTCTTGTAATACAGATCTTTCCCTTCCTTGAGCCTTGGTTAGATTCAAACCAACATATTTTATATTATTTTTTTACTATTGGGAAGAGCGTTGTTTGACTAATTTCTTTCTCCGACAGTGTATACTTTGAATAGAGGGGGGCTACTGATTCGTTCAAATTAATTTTATATCCAACCACTGGCTGAAATTGTTTATCAGGTTTTAGAGCTCTCTCACTTAAATATACTATCATATCAGCTGCAAATAATGATATTTTTACTTCCTCATTTAGAATTTATATCCCTTTGACTTCCTTTTGTTGTGTAATTGCTCTGGCTAGGACTTCCAGTACAATTTTGAATAGGTAGGGAGAGAGGGGGCAGCCTTTTCTAGTCTCTGATTTTAGTGGGGTTATTTCAAGTTTGTCTCCATTTAGTTTGATATTGGATACTGGCTTATATATGTTGCTTTTACTATATTTTGGAATGGGCCCTGAATTCCTGATCTTTCCAAGACTTTTATCATGAAGGGACATTGAACTTTGTCAAATGCTTTCTCAGCATCTTGTGAGATGATCATGTTTTCTTTTCCTTTGAGTTTATTTATATAGTGGATTACATTGATGGATTTCCAAATATTTAACCATCCCTGCATTCTGGGATAAAGCCTACTTGATCATGATGAATTATTGTTTTTATGTGTTTTGGGTTCAGTTTGTGAGAATTTTATTCAGCATTTTTGCATCGATATTCATAAGGGAGATTGGCCTGAAGTTCTCTTTCTTTGTTGTGTCTTTGTGTAGTTTAGACATAAGCCCAATTGTGGCTTCATAGAACAAGTTGCATAGAGTTCCTTCTGTTTCTATCTTGAAGAATAGTTTGAAGAGAATTGGTATTAGGTTTTCCTTGAAGATATGACAGAATTCTCCACTAAAATCATGTGATCCTGTTTGTTTGTTTGTTTGTTTGTTTGTTTTTAATGGGGAGACTTTATTGACTGCTGCTCTTTCTTTAGGGGTTAAGGGATATTTACATGGTTTATTTGGTGCTGATTTAACTTTGGTACCTGATATCTGTGTAGAAAATTGTCTATTTCATCCAGATTTTCCATTTTTGTTGAGTATAGGCTTTTGTAGAAGGATTCAATGATTTTTCAAATTTCCTCAGTTTCTTTTGTTACAGTTCCCTTTTCAGTTCTGATTTTATTAATTTGGATTCTGCCTCTGTGTCTTCTGGTTAGTCTGGCTAAGGGTTTATCTATCTCGTTGACTTTCTCAAAGAATCAGCTCCTAGTTTTGTTGATACTTGGTATAGTTCTTTTTGTTTCTACTTTGTTGATTTCAGGCATGAGTTTGGTTATTTTCTGCCTTCTACTCTTCTTGGGTGTATTTGCGACTTTTAGTTCTAGAGCTTTCAGGTTGCTATCAAGTTGGAAGTGCATGTTTTCTTCAGTTTCTTATTGTAGACACTTAGAGCTATGAGTTTTCCTCTTAGCACTGCTTTCATTGCATCCCATAAGTTTTGGTATAAAGAGCCTTCATTTTTATTAAATTCAAAAAAGTATTTAATTTCTTCATTTCTTCCTTGACCAGTTTATCATTTGGTAGAGTGTTATTCCATTTCTATTTGTATGTGGGCTTTCCATTGTTTTTGTTATTATTGAAACCAGCCTTAGTCCATGGTGATCTGATAAGACACAATGGATTATTTCAATCTTTTTGTATCTGTTGAGGCCTGATTTGTGACTAATTATACCATCTATTTTGAAGATGGTACAATAAGGTACTGAGAAAAAGGCATATACTTTTGTTTTAAGGTGAAATATTCTATAGATATCTGTTGAATCTATTTGGTTCATAACTTCTGTTAGTTTTACTGTGTCTCTGTTTAATTTCTGTTCTATGATCTGTCCATTAATGAGAGTGGGCTGTTGAAGTCCCCCACTAGTATTGTGTGAAGTGCAATATCTGCCTTGAGCTTTAGTAAAGTTCTCTTTATGAATGTGGGTGATCTTGCATTTGGAGCATAGATGTTCAGAATTGAGAGTTCATCGTAGTAAATTTTTCCTTTGACAGTTATGAAGTGTCCTTCTTTATCTTTTTTTGATAGCTTTTAGTTGAAAGGCAATTTTATTCTATATTAGTGTGGCAACTCCAGCTTGTTCCTTGGGACCATTTGTTTGGAAAATTGATTTCCAGCATTTTACTCTGAGGTAGTGTCTTTCTTCTTCAGTGAGCTACCTTTCCTGAATGGAACAAAATTCTGGACCCTGTTTATATATCCAGTCTGTTAGCCTTCATCGTTTTATTGGAAAACTGAGCCCACTGGTATTAAAAGATATTAAGGAAAACTGATTGTTGCTTCCTGTTATTTTCGTTATTAGATGTGGAATTATGTTTGTGTAGCTGTCTTCTTTTGTGATTGCTTGAAGTTTTCTTTCTTGCTTTTACTAGGTTGTAGTTTCTCTCATTGTGTTGGAGATTTCCATCTATTATCATTTGTAGGTCTGGATTTGTGGAAAGATATTGTATAAACTTGGTTTTGTCATGGAATATCTTGGTTTCTGCATCTATAGTGATTGAGAGTTTTGCTGAGTATAGTAGTCTGAGCTGGCATTTGTGTTCTCTTAGGGTCTGCATGATACCAGTTCAGGATCTTCTGGCTTTTATAGTCTCTGGTGAAAAGTCTGGTGTAATTCTGATAGGTCTGCCTTCATATATTACTTTACCTTTTTCCCTTATTACTTTTTAGTAATTTTTTTTGGTTTGTGCATTTGATGTTTTGATTATTATGTGACAAGAGGGATTTTTTGTGGTCTAGTCTATTTAGTGTTCTGTAGGCTTCGTGTATGTTCATGGGCATCTCTTTCTTTAGGTTAGGGAAGTTTTCTTCTATAATTTTGTTGAAGATATTTACTGGACCTTTAAATTGGGAATCTTCACTTTCATCTATATTTATTATCCTTACGTTTGGTCTTCTCATTGTGTCCTGGATTCCTTGAATGTTTCAGGTTAGGAGCTTTTTTAATTTTGCATTTTCTTTGACAGGTGTGTCAATGTTTACCATGGTGTCTTTTGCACATGAGATTCTCTCTTATATCTCTTTTATTCTGTTGGTGATGCTTGCATTATATGACTCCTGATCTCTTTGATAGGTACTCTATCTCCAGAATAGTTTCCTTTAGGATTCCTTTATTGTTTTTATTTCCATTTTTAGATCCTGGATGATTTCTTTAATTTCTTCACCTGTTTGGTTGTGTTTTCTTGCAATTCTCTAAGGGATTTTTGTGTTTCCTTTTTAAGGTCCTCTGCCTGTTTGCCTGAGTTGTCTTGTATTTCTTTAAGGGAGTCAGTTATGTCCATCTTAAATTCCTCTATCATCATCATGAGAAGTGATTTTTAAATCTGAATCCTGCTTTTTCAGTGTGATGGAGGTTCCAGGACTTGTTATGGTGGGAGAACTGAGTTCTGATGATGACAAATAAACTTGGTTTCTGTTTCTTATGTTCTTCTGCTTGCCTTTCGTCCTCTGGTTATCTCTATTCCTAAAGGCACTCACTGTCTCTCACTGGAGCCTATCTCTCTTGTTATCTTGCTTGCATCAGAATGCCTCAGCGTCCAGCTGTGACTGTGATCCTATGATCCTGAGATCTTGTCTTGAAGAATTCTTGGGAATTAGGCTGCCTCAGGGATCCTGAAACCCTATGATCTTCTGCATGTTAGTGCTCCTGAGAATCCAGCTTCCTCAGTTCCTCTGAGTGTATCAGATTCTCCACTGCTCTGAGTGCAGTGGTTCCCCTGGGATGGGTCAGGATATTGTGTCTTCATGGGAGCAGACCTGCTAGCATTCAGCCCCAGCAGCAAAGACCAAGCACGTGGCAGAAGGTAAGTGGTATTCTAGAGGGAAAAGTTTGGGTGAATGATGGGTCCTGCATGCCCCAGGCTCCCAGGTACAGCTCTGAGGTATAGGGTTGTAGAGGAGGGTTCTTACCTGCTGCTCTGAGTACAGTGGTTCTTCTAGGATGGGTCAGGATATAGAGACTTCAGGGCAGCAGGCCAGTTAGAAGTCTGTCACAGCAGAAAAGACCAAGTAATACTTGTTTAATTTCCATAGCATCACACTTAGAAATGTTTGTCATATCCAATCTCAGTAAATAAATCTGAAAATAAATGGTTTATTTAAATAAAAAAATGTTTTAAAGCTAGAATTCTATGAAGTGAATTGGAATTTGCTGATAATACACAACAAAATAGTAATTAATGTAGCAAATATTTGATGACTCAAGACTCCCTGATTCTAGGCTGAAGAGATGCCTCCCAACAATGTATTTGCACAGGCAATTTTTCTTTGAGAGTCATCTGTCTGTATTGAATAGGGAGAAGACCTGAGATCAGTTCCTAGGCTCCAAAGCAAGAGGTTCACAGCTACATGCAACTTCAGGTCCCTTGGAACCAACACACTCTTCTCACCTCTGAAGGCACTAAAAACATAAAGGTATACATATCACCACCACCACTATTGTTGCTACTACTGGTATTAGTAACACTATCTTTTAAAAAATCACCTTCACAATTCCACAACATGGTTTATTCTAAGACCACATTCAGTTATTCACATATAGAACAACAGGAACATAAACATCAATGTTTGTATAATATTTAAAAGTTTTGAAAACTTATTCCATGGGAATATCCCTGGAGGGAAACTAGCCATTTTCTCCTGGAATACTTTATCGAAGGCTTCAGCTTGGGCTACTTTGAAGTGATTTTTCCAGTCCCCAATTGTGCCTGGAAAATGTTAAGCAGATACATAAGTGGATTAATAATGGTCTTAACATTATTCTAGCTCCTCCCATCATACGGTTCTACCATCTGTTTGATAAAGAGCACACAGATCATAAAGTGAACTACCATTTTCTGCAGAAACCACTTAAGCCCTGAAATCATATATACAGACTTCTCCCTCTGTGGAAATTAAGTTCCACATTTTCCTCTCCCAAACTATATGCTAGACAATCTAACAGGAGCTACACTGGCTTGGCCTATTTACATACCCAGATTATTCCTGCTTCCCATCAAACCTGTTTCCATCACATTATCCAACTCAACAGTGTTTATAATTTCAATGATCTAAACAGACTTCAATTGTTCTGTCTATATTTTAGTATTTACTTATAGAAGTTCTTTACAACATGCAAGCTACTTTTAAATAGTATATTAAAATAATTTTTTTACTTTTCTGTGTGTGTTCATGTGAGTGCTGCAGCACACACAGTTATAAGCAGTATTTCAGCTGTCATGATTTTATCACCAGATACAGAAGACACAGCCACTCTCAGCTAACAATATCGCAAGACTTCTGTTTCCTTCAGCCATGGTGTTTTGTGATGCATGAAGATGTGTATGATTTTAGCCCCTGTCCTTTATAGTATTGACTCTTCTAAGCATACATTGGTTTTCTCCACAAGGTCTTTAGTTTTAGCCTTAGAAATTGTACAACTGCTCATGGTGTGTTGTTTCCTCCTTCACTCCAGACAGCAAATATCTATCATATAATTACATCTTGTTCTTTGTCTAATTAATGACACTGTAACCTTCTCTTTCTTTCTTTTCTCCACTTACAACCTAGCTGCCCCCTTCCTTGCTTTATTTTCTAGTTGTGGCACCGTGGTGTGTTCAACACATTTCTGCTTTGAATATATACACAGTATATGCATCCAATATACTTGACAAAAGTTGTTTCTTAAGTTATTATATGGTTCATTTTGCAAAGAGTGTCAGACATATAGTATATACTCAGTATGAGACTTTTTTAAATGAATACATGAATACATGAGAAAGGTGTAAGCAATTCTCCTATTTTGCTGATGAAGAAAAAATTATTCTGAGACGTTACTAAGTGTGATAATGATGGATGTGGATTTGAATCCAAAAAAATTGAAAATAGAAATCATGCTTTTCTTTATTATATTACTTTCTTTCTGTATCAACACAAGTTAATTTTAATACCCCAGTGGGCTGTTTTAATTAAAGTATAAAGAATTCATAAAAACGTAAACTACTGATACAGCATATTCAAATAATATACCATTATTTGATATAAATATTAAAGTATCATCTAATAAGATGAGTACCTCTCAGTATCCATTGCTACTCTCAGGTTCCTTATTTTCTTCATTATTAGAACATGTTTTCTTATTGTTTTCCACAGCATGCCTGAATCCTGATAAGCCAAACCAGATAGCTGCTTCATGACAAGATTCTCAGAAATTCAATATGACTTCCCAATGGAATAAATAAGTCTATCTGAGAAAACCACATCTTTGGAGGTACAGACAATTGAGTTCGAAGTTCACCTACGTCAAAGTCCTGTGTACCTTATAGATGTACATTTATTTTTATTGCGTCTTTCTAAAAATCTCCCCTAAATCATGTATGTCAGGTAGCAGGACAACTCTAATGTGTGGTGGCTTAACTCTTGTTGAAAAGGAACTTCCTCATAGGTCTGGAGGCGGCAGGTCTCACACCAAGGTGTTGTTCAGACCATTGTTGGCTTTTCTTTTTGGCCTGCAGATGGCAGGCTTCTTCCTTTGTCCTTAGATCATCTCCTGTTTGTGGATCTGATTAATATCTTGTGAAGATAGCAGTGAAAATGATCATTGGCCCAAGTATTATATCCAGTAAACATATACTGTGAAGTATTCAAGGATGGGGCTTTGGAGGTTTGTTAGAAGTTATTTCCTACACATGTCTTGATTGCAGCATTTCCCTTACAAACTAACAGTGGCTTAATGATGGTGAACATCTCTCTAGTTTGCATTTCCTTCAGTGTGTAATATAAAATTACAATGACTGTACTTACATATGGAAAATTATTGCTTGGAGGTTAAAACCAGATTCAAGTCACCAACTTAAGTGATTGAGTCTCCCAGGTACAGCTGACAAAGTAGGTCACCAGCGACAATTAAGTATCTTTTACATCTGTCTCAAAAAGAAGAACATTTTAATGATACAGGAAAATAAGTCTAGTGAATTGCTCCTGGCTAAGGCAATTCTCCAACTTAGTATAGCTTTTTAACATTTTATAATTTAGGGAATTTGGTTATCTAGTGATAAGTAATGAAACTGGTTTTAGAATTAATCTTTGATTTGCTTATACTTTGATAATTCAAAAGTGGCATGTATCTGATATAGGAATTGAGAAGAAAAATATGATCTTTATGTTTTCCTTTCAAAATTGTTTCCAGATGTGTCCATTTCATCGTCTTCTATGATGAAGTTGTGAAGCAAGTGGATAATGAAGTTAGTGTCCCCCATAAATGACCTGGTTTCCAAAGGTATATGGATTACTGGCTATGTGTCACACTAGTATAGGATAAATAATCCCCAAGAATAAAAGTTGTCTTCAAATAAAAAAATCATATGCTACATATAATGAGTAGTATAATTAATTTATAAAAGACATAAAATCTAATCAAGTATATTCAAAAAACTATATTATAATTACTGCTAATATGTACGTATGTATGCATGCATATATTCCTCCTATTATCTATGCTATATGAGAAATAGTATGTATATTTGGAAGAGATTAAATCCAAGTGAGGTCTCTCCCTAGAAGAATCTTCCTGGAAATCAGAAACAATTGTCCTCATGAAAATTTGTCTTAAATTCTATTCTATCTGTTCTGTTGTGTCTCTGCTAAAGCTGTTGCTTATCATTTTCTTTATTCCTTTGCTATTAACAGAGCTTCTTCATTTCTTTAGATATTTAACATCAGACATTTATGTTTATATACTGTTTTTTTCTCTGCCAAATTCTGATTCATTTTAGGAAATCTTAGAAAAGACCACTTCTCTTGGTTGAGACCTTCCATTCTAGTACAGAGAAATATGTCTCCACAGAGTCTAGAGTACAGGAGTTTGAGGACATCTGGCAACAACAGTGTATTTTTATTGATGCCTTGAACTTTAGTGTATAGAAACCCATATTCTTGTGTTGAGTGCTGACATGTCATTATGTTTAAATCTTAGTCAATATTTTCTATTATGGGCATTCTAAAACTATTGGATTAAATATGATCTGGTAACTATTTTAACTTAATTTTACCTATGAAAACTCTTGTTATATTGTTAGTATCCAAATCTCATACACTAGAGAGGAGAACTGAAGGTAAAGGCTAAATCATTTAAATTATGGGTAAAGAAATTTAAACCGACAACTCTTTACTTCCTTCATCATACCAATGCTTTTACTCATTGTTAAATATCTGACTTTTGACACTTTCCATCTTCTGCTCTGAGTTCCATATCAATTATCATTACCTAATCAAGTCTGAGTAAGTCTCAAGATTTCATTCATTCTGGAAAAGTCACTTCTTACCTGCACAGCTATGAAACCACACATACAATCTACTCCCAGCATAGAGAGGTGGAACAGAAATAGAGAGAAATGAAATTCCCCTTCCAGGAGAGACAATTCAGAAAGAAGAGAGAGAGAGATCCTGAACCGAAGGTAATCTAAACATAGGTTAGCAAATGTCATCTGATTTTTAACACTAGAGAATTTTCTTAGTCCTTTTGGGGTTTATTCTTAGCCTACTCTCAGTCTGCAATCTTGACCTACTTAACATCATTTCCAGCTGTTAATGTAATCTTTTGCAATTCTATTGTTATCATCTCAAATTTATCTTTGGTCTACTCTACTACACTTTTTTTATATTTTAGAGTTGAGGATTTTGATACAGGGAACTTTACAATGTTTCATAGAAACATGACTACTTTCCCATTTTTTCACTGAAGTTATTGGACATGGCCATCTCCAATCTCAAGACTGTCTCCCAGAAAAAATCAACTTCTCAGAGTGTCTGAAGCCCACATCTTTTCAATATACTATCACCCTATAATGTCTATGAGAAACTATCAGTGATGAGCATTGACTGTCAGTACATTCCCAATAATTTCTTAGAAATTCATTGGCACAAGCTCTTAACATGTTCTGACATATTGTGAAGCTAGACAATGTCTTTACCTTTTCTCGTGAGGTTCAAGCCATTAGGAATCACATCTTTGTTGATGAGACTAAAATTGGACATGCTGGGTTTTTCATGACTTGGAAGGAGCTGTACTTGAG